TGTAAGTTGTAAGTAGGGATGCACCGAATCCAGATTTGTGGGGTTCGCCCGAATACCGAATCCACTGGTTAAGATTCTGCCGAATCCGAAACCGAATACCGAATCCTACTCTCATCCTCAGTCCATTAACAAAGTAAACACATTAATGAAGTAAACAACGTGGATTTTTCATTTAATTTTATTTTAACTGTAAAAAAAGAAAGAAAAAAAAGAATAAGCAACATTATGCATTTTAACAGCGGCGATGATGTGTATTGATTAGAGTCCTTGCCACCATGAGACAAATTGGCATTGCAAATTGAACATGTAGCTCGACTTGTCTTTAATTGCCTTCTTTTGACTGAAAGTACTGCTAAACAACACTTTTTCTGCTCGAAAGTTCCATTTTCACTTTCTCACAGCCTACTGCATTCGAACGGTCCACCTACTGCAACGAGTGGAAATAAGATGTGTCCCCTTTAAGAGCTGCGCGCTCCCTATTGAACTGTCTGCAGTCTGTATTGTATGTGCCGTGCGCCTCGAACACCCCAAGTATGCGAGTTATTTCTGTTTGATGCTCATTTTTATCTTATTTTGTTAAGTAACGCTGTGGACGGTAGAACATGTGACAGACAGTTACACGAGTTCGATTGAGGAATAAAGTGCGAGTTGTGAGATGCCAGTCGCCTCCGTGAGTCTGTTTTCTTCCTGACACAACGCGTAATACTACAGGCTTATTTGACTTGAACCGGCGCTGCACAGACCGATCGGTTTATGACATTAAAGTACAGCGAGAGCATTTCAAAAGCATAAGGAGCCGTCTGCTCTCTATTCGCTCTGATGTCATACTGATGATATATTCTGATGTCATTCACCAATCGGTCTGTGCAGCGCCGGTTCAAGTTGAACAAGCCAGCGTGACATCGACGTAGCGCGCGTAGTGCAAGCCTAGGGTTCGGTGGAAAAAAATTCTAAGGTTCGGCAGAAACCGAACCCCGTTAAAAAGCCCAATATCCGGCCGAATCCGAAACCGAATCCTGGATTCGGTGCATCCCTAGTTGTAAGATTATTCAGATATAGACAACATAAACAGTAGTGGAATGTAATGAAGTACAAATACTTCATTACTTTACTTAAGTACATTTTTCACGTATCTTTACTTTACTTAAGTAGAATCAATAGTGCATACTTATTACTTTTACTTCGTTATTACTTTTACTTCGTTACATTTTGCAGCAATTATTATACTTTCTACTCCACTACATTTCTACAATGTTCTGTTACATTTTCGTTACATTTTCTGATCAGTTTTTCCCCTGCCGTTCGTCGCACGTTTGTCTCACCAGTGAAGTTTGGTTGCCATATCAACCCGGTCACACTATATGCGTCTCTATAGCACGCAGTGTGTTTATCGTGCAATTTATACGCGGAAATTTGTTTTTATGTGCATAGGATACGCATGGGTAGATTTAGTAGTGATGTGGGGTGCGTGTGTATTATACGTTTGGTTAGGATTAGTATGGCAAGCCAAGAGGTTCAGAATTACGCCATAAATGAATCGCGTTTACAGCCAAACCCCGTCACATTAAGCTTGATGTGATGTATATTGCCTAATTGCAAGCTTGTTCAGAAATGGTGACAGAAACTTAAAAAATAACGGCTTTTCCACCATTATTGAACATCATAATAGGAGTATTAGGTTGAATGAGTTAGGATTAACTGTTTTATTAATCATTAGAATATAGACATTAAGACAATAAATTGTTATGCAAGTACTTTTACTTTTAATACTTAAAGTACATTTAAAATCAGGTACTTTTTACATTTTACTTAAAGACCCACTCCGATGAAAATAATGTTTTTCTAGGTGTTAACATGTTCTTGTGGCATTTTTCTGATGTTAGAGGACATATCTTGAGAAAAATAAGCTCAAAGTTGTATTTCAGAGTATTTCTACATTCAAATGGCTGTGAATCAGTAGCAGACGCTAAAATGCCGGCTAAAATAGACTGGAGTTGTGACGTAGTAACTCCACTGGGCGTCTCCACACGCAACGTCTTGGAGTGAAATAATGATCGGTGATCGGTGATAACTTTGATTAACTTCGGATAATAATAATTAACGTGTATATAATACTGTTGCGCCACCGGTATTGGGGGTGTAAGCTAACGGGAGAGACAGAGCTCTCAGCAACGGGCAGGGGGAGGGTCGTCTCCGTGCCAACGGCTCCGCCCACAACGCAGAGGCGAATTGCTAATGAGCTACTGCCGCTCTGCTGAAGCGAAGTCCCAGAAAACGGCACAGGTTTTGTGATTTTGGCTAAAAATGGCATAATCATAATTTAAAGACCACTGGGAATGTTTAAAAATAGCTCAAAATATGATCGGAGTGGGACTTTAAGTAGGGTTGTCATTGTGATACTTCTACTTTCACTAAAGTAAATATGTCTCTGGTTATATGTACTTTTACTTAAGTACTGAGATTCAGTACTTCCTCCACCACTGAACATAAAAGTAATCTCTGAATAACCAGCTGGAGAAACGCGGCAGTTTACTGACCGTTCACTCGCTCATCAGTTTCAGCTCAAATGGACTGTCCGACATTGACTATGATCAGGTTATTTCTTATTTGAGACGGTCATATTCCTTTTAGATAGGCTTTATGGGCACAAATCATTGATGATATTAATAATGCAGCAGTTATTTTGTTAAAAAAAAATTAACATTAAACCTGTTTTAATTAAAGTTGTTTCTAGTTATGGCTTCGAAAACGCACAGGGATGACTGTAATCACTTTACAGCCAATATATATGCCATATTCAGCATTATAATGAGAACAGGATTGTGGTAGAATGTGTGTGTGTGTGAGACGCCCTCTGGTGTTTAGAGGGATAAGTGGTGTGTGAGAGTGAGCGAGTGAGTGTGTGTGTGTGTGTGTGTGTGACGACCTCTGGTGTTTAGAGGAATATGTGGTGTGTGTGTGTGTGTGTGTGAGTGTGAGTGTGACGCCCTCTGGTGCTTAGAGGGATATGTGGTGTGTGTGTGTATGTGTGTGACGCCCTCTGGTGTTCAGAGATATATGCGGTGTGTGTGTGTTTGAGTGTGACGCCCTCTGATGTTCAGAGATATATGTGGTGTGTGTGTGTGTGTGTGTGTGTGTGTGTTTGTGTGTGACGCCCTCTGGTGTTCAGAGATATATATGTGGTGTGTGTGTGTGTGTGTGTGATGCCCTCTGGTGTTCAGAGATATATACACTCACCGGCCACTTTATTAGGTACCCCATGCTAGTAACGGGTTGGACCCCCTTTTGCCTTCAGAACTGCCTCAATTCTTCGTGGCATAGATTCAACAAGGTGCTGGAAGCATTCCTCAGGGAGTTTGGTCCATATTGACATGATGGCATCACACAGTTGCCGCAGATTTGTCGGCTGCACATCCATGATGCGAATCTCCCGTTCCACCACATCCCAAAGATGCTCTATTGGGTTGAGATCTGGTGACTGTGGAGGCCATTTTAGTACAGTGAACTCATTGTCATGTTCAAGAAACCAATTTGAAATGATTAGAGCTTTGTGACATGGTGGAAGTAGCCATCAGAGGATGGGTACATGGTGGCCATAAAGGGATGGACATGGTCAGAAACAATGCTCAGGTAGGCCGTGGCATTTAAACGATGCCCAATTGGCACTAAGGGGCCTAAAGTGTGCCAGGAAAACATCCCCCACACCATTACACCACCACCACCAGCCTGCACAGTGGTAACAAGGCATGATGGTTCCATGTTCTCATTCTGTTTACGCCAAATTCTGACTCTAACATCTGAATGTCTCAACAGAAATCGAGACTCATCAGACCAGGCAACATTTTTCCAGTCTTCAACTGTTCAATTTTGGTGAGCTCTTGCAAATTGTAGCCTCTTTTTCCTATTTGTAGTGGAGATGAGTGGTACCCGGTGGAGTCTTCTGCTGTTGTAGCCCATCCGCCTCAAGGTTGTGCGTGTTGTGGCTTCACAAATGCTTTGCTGCATACCTCGGTTGTAACGAGTGGTTATTTCAGTCACTGTTGCCCTTCTATCAGCTCGAACCAGTCTGGCCATTCTCCTCTGACCTCTGGCATCAACAAGGCATTTCCGCCCACAGAACTGCCGCTCACTGGATGTTTTTTTCTTTTTCGGACCATTCTCTGTAAACCCTAGAGATGGTTGTGCGTGAAAATCCCAGTAGATTAGCAGTTTCTGAAATACTCAGACCAGCCCTTCTGGCACCAACAATCATGCCACGTTCAAAGTCACTCAAATCAACTTTCTTCCCCATACTGATGCTCGGTTTGAACTGCAGGAGATTGTCTTGACCATGTCTACATGCCTAAATGCACTGAGTTGCCGCCATGTGATTGGCTGCTTAGAAATTAAGTGTTAACGAGCAGTTGGACAGGTGTACCTAATAAAGTGGCCGGTGAGTGTATGTGGTGTGTGTGTGTGTGTGTGTGTGTGTGTGTGTGTGTGTGTGTGTGTGTGTGTGTGTGTGTGTGTGAGAGACGCCCTCTGGTGTTCAGAGAGATATGTGGTGTGTGTGTGTGTGTGTTTCACTGAAACATTTAGCTGCAGCCAAGTGACTTAGCACGACCCACACTTTTAAAACCCCTGACAGGGGATAACACTTTTACGTTGTTTTTCATAAGCTTAACAGCTGTGGCATGTATGAACAGTAGTTAACTGTAAAAGAGCGGCATAAAAATTGTTCTAGAATTGTCCTTTTGTGTTACACAGATGAATGTTGAATCGATATCTGGGTGAGAAAAATAACAGAAATTTCCTTTTTGGACACATTATGCTTGATACTGTAATAGCTAGCACACAAAGCAAACAATACAATACAATATAATACACAGCAACACACTACCTCTCCCTGGGATCCGGGATGCAGCAGGACAGACAAAATGAAAACACAATTACAAAGTAATTAAGCATCATCTTAATTATAAAGATAAGCATCAGTAAGAGCATTGCTGTTCCAGACTCACCGGCCATCATCGCGTCCCACTCCCCACACACGGATGCTGACGATGGGCTGAGAATGGAGCAGTGTTCGTCCATGAGGCTCAACCAGATTCAGTGTCTCGTTCTCCAGCACCAGCAGCATTTCCTTCCCCTGCACACAGCACACAAAATATACAATACACTCAAATCCTGGATGCAGAACACCAGCAGAGCACACGGCGTGATACACTATAACACACAGTGCAGTGTACTCAACTTGACTTCCCATTTCTCTTTCATTTCTTGTCTTTGATTGCATTGTAAATAATTGTCAGGGATGTGGCACTTAAAGGGTTAGTTCAACCAAAAATGCTCACCCTCAAGTCGTCCTAGGTTATATGACTTTCTTCTTCCAGACGAATACAATCGGAGTTATATTAAAGGGGTGGTTCAGAATTTTGGACATCAGGCCTCATTTCCAAGTTAGCCTGGGTGTTATTGATCAGTGGAGACAGTTTTCAAAGGTTTTCATCCAGTCGTTCCAGTTGCATAGTTCGCCGGTGCTAGGCTAGCGCGAGTCAACGGTAACTGCTAGCCTGCCATTAAAAACAGTTTTACCCACTCCACAGTTCACCAAAAGCAAATAAATTACAACACCAGACTATCGATGTAAATGTCTCAATGATCACATTACATTTACAGGAACTAGTTTCTCAGCAGCGGCGGGATTTTACTTTGCTCCGGGTTAGTAGTCCTGCGCCGAAAAGTAAACACAGAACCGAAGCGCACTACAGTTGGGACTACCTGTACTACCTCTCTCTCTCTCTCTCTCTCTCTCTCTCTACCTCTCTCTACCTCTCTCTCTCTCTGCATGCTGGGAGTGTCGGGGTGCGCGTGAGGGTGTTTACGAGGGGAGGACGATTGTTTCGGGGTTTTTTCCTCTTTTTGTTTATGAATGTTTTTTTTCCCTTTCTTTTTTTCTTTTTCTTCTTTAAAAATTTAATTTTGATTTGTTTTGTGAGTGTTTGTGAGTTTTTGCGGCGGCATCGTGATGGCGTCTATCCCTACTGGGACAGCGTCACAGGTGTCGCTCCGCCATGGAATTAGGTGTGTGCCGGCTCAGGGCGTCACTGTCGAGGATGTGTTGCTGGCAATCGGGGAAAAAGTTGGATATGAAAACATTACTACAGCATCCAGGATGAATAAAGCAGTGGTTGTGTTTGTCGAGAAAGAAGATATAGTAAATCAGTTGATAAGCGAAGGAATTGTGGTAAGTGGCGATTTCCTTATTATCTCACCGCTTGTTACTCCGACAACTAAAGTTACGATTTCTAATTTGCCGCCATTTATTCGAAATGAAGAAATTGAGAAAGCTTTGACGCGATATGGAAAGTTGGCTAGTATGATTAAGATGATCCCGCTGGGGTGTAAAAATGCTGCTCTAAAACACGTTATGTCCTTCAGGCGGCAGGTGTTTATGTTCTTAAATGAACCAGAGTTGGATATTTCGTTTAGAGTTATGCATGAAGGAAAAGCATATGTTATTTACGCAAGCACTGGTAGTATGAAATGTTTTGAGTGCGGGGACATCGGGCATAAAAGGCACACATGCCCACATAAGGCCCAAGTTACAGAAGTCGAAGCGAGGCCCAGTACTTCTGCTGCTGGTGAGAGTGTTAGGGCAGTTTCTGAGGACGTGCAGCCTCAAGCTGAATCACAGAGGAACATCGAGAGTGATGGAGTGACTGAAAGTCAGACTGAGAACGTTCATGAAATGGTTGAAACAGGTAGAAATCATGTTGTTTCTGAACTAGATGAAAATAGTGCAACGAAGGATGATGCTGCTACGGTTAGTGTTGAAAGGGTTTCTAATGAGAAGTCTGAAATGTCTAATTCTGTGGAAATGTGTACTGATGCTGATTTGGAGGTGAGAGATGATGATGATTTCTCGGATGTATCTGACATTGGATCGCAGTGTGGGAGTGTGGACGATGTGTATACAGTGCAAGCTATAAACAACTTTCTGGATGCGACCTTTGGTAAAACCATTGAAGTTAAAGATTTTTTTCCTGATGAAAACAAATGTATTTATACAGTGAAATTGTTGCAGAGAAATGTTAGTTATGATGTGTTAAGTAAACAAAAAAGGTTCAGATTGAAGAAAATGTTAACAAAGCTAAGAAAAGACAAAGCAAGCACGTTATAAAACAAATCAAATGGTTAATTCACATGGGGTGATTTTTTCTCTGTGTCTTTTTGTTCTTTTTCTATCCCTTTCATATTTTTTTTTTCCTATGGAGCTGTTGAGGGTGGGCTCTTTAAATATGAATGGGGTAGAGATGGTAATAAACTAGCAATGGTATCAGAGTTATTTAGTATAAAGAAAATAAATATAGTTTTCTTACAAGAAACACACACTAATTTAGATAATGAATCTGAATGGAGAAGATGGTGGGAAGGAACAAGTGTTTTAAGTCATGGGACAAATAATAGTGCTGGTATAGCAATTTTATTTTCTAAAGATATGAATGTCAATATTCTGGCTGTTGAAGAAATTGTAAAGGGAAGACTGTTGTTGGTAAAAATGGAATATGAAGGATCTGTTTTTGCATTGATAAATATATATGCACCCAATAATGGACCTGAGCGTGTGAGGTCTTTTTTAAAGTTAAGGAGTGCTATTCAGAAAATTGACGATAATGTTTGTACTATTATTGGAGGTGACTGGAACTGTACTATTGATTTTATTATTGATAGAAATGGAGAAGAACCCCATCATGAATCAAGTGTTGTATTGTCAAAAATCTTTAAGGAGTTTGAATTAATGGATATTTGGAGAAGAAGAAACCCTAGAATTAAACAGTATACCTGGCTCAAAGTATCTAACAACAGAGTTAGTGGAGCTCGATTAGATAGATTTTATATTGGTAAAATATGGAATAGTAAAATTACGGATGTTTCTATTCTACCTGTTGTGTTTTCAGATCACCAGTTGATACTATTTGCTTTGAATATAAAAAGGAATTTAAGACCAAATTATTTTTGGCATTTTAATACTAAGATGTTGCAAGATGCTTTATTTTGCGAGAATTTTTTTTTTTTTTGGAACAATTGGAAGTTAAAAAAGCTTTCTTTTGAAAATGTGTTTATGTGGTGGGAGGTTGGTAAAGCAAACATAAGAATTTTTTGTCAGAATTATAGTTCACATTCAACTTCTATGGTGAAAGCAGCAATGCAAAAACTTCAAAGGGATATTCAAGTTTTGGAGAGTATTCTTGTGATAAATAATGATGATGGAAATATAAAAAATGAATATTTGAATAAAAAGAAAGAACTTTGCTCATTACTGCATGAACAAGTGAAAGGAGCATTAATACGAGCAAGAATTTGTTCCATTAAAGACATGGATGCTCATTCCTCATATTTTTTTAACCTTGAAAAGAAAAGCGTTCAGCAAAAGCAAATGTATCATCTTCGGCGGCCTGATGGGGTCATAACCTCTGACCCAGTGGAGATAAGGAAACTGGCAGTCAATTTTTATACGGATTTGTATGACGCTGAGACTTGTGATCCTGAATGTGTTTCTGATTTGCTGAGTGACTTACCAAAGCTGACAAATGATCAGAAAAAAGCCTTGGATGGACAAATTACTTTTCAAGAGATAACTGAGGCAATGAGACAGTTATCCAATGGTCGTTCTCCAGGAATCGATGGTTTGCCAGCAGAGTTTTATCAGGCATTCTGGAATGTACTAGGAAATGACTTGTATGAAGTTTTACTGGAAAGTATAAGAAATAAGCTGCTTCCTTTAAGTTGTCGAAGAGCAGTCCTTTCTTTGCTCCCTAAAAAGGGGGATTTGTGCCTTTTAAAGAACTGGAGACCTGTCTCTTTACTTTGCTTGGACTATAAAATAATTTCAAAATGCTTAGCAAATAGGTTGAAACATGTTTTAGAATTATTAGTTCACAGAGATCAAACATATTGTATCCCTAACAGGTCTATTATGGATAATCTTTTTTTGTTAAGAGATGTCATTGATTTTAATCAGTTCAGTAATGTTGACCTGGGTGTGCTTTCATTAGATCAAGAGAAAGCCTTCGATAGAGTCAACCATACATATCTTTTTGAGGTTTTGAAAAGTTTTGGGTTTGGGAAGAATTTTATCTCATATATTCAACTGTTATATTCTGAAGTTTTTGTGATTGTGAAAGCTGGTGGAGGATTGAGTGCACCAGTGCCTGTGTTAAAAGGGATCAGGCAAGGCTGTCCACTGTCTGGACAATTATATAGCCTTGTTATTGAGCCGTTGTTGTGCAGGCTAAGAAGGGGTCTCAGTGGAATCAATGTCATGCATGGAATTTCGATATCAGCTTATGCTGACGATGTTACTGTTTTTATTTCAAATCAAAATGATGTTAATTTTTTAACTGAAACAATGGAAAAGTATGAAAAGGCATCATCAGCAAGAGTTAATTGGGGAAAAAGCGAGGGACTCATTATTGGTCAGTGGAAAAGTGAGCAAGGAACTCCAAAATTACCTGGTGGATTGTTGTGGGAAAGAGACGGGCTGAAAATGCTAGGGGTTTTTTTGGGGAATAAACAATTTCAGAATAAAAATTGGGAGGGACTGCTGGAAAAGGTGTCTGCCCGATTGTTTAAATGGAAATCGCTATTACCACTGATGTCATACAGAGGAAGAGTTCTGGTTGTGAATAATCTGGCTGCCTCAACCTTATGGCATAGACTCATTGTAATGGAACCACCTGAAGATTTGATTTGCAGAATACAGAGAATATTTGTGGATTTTTTTTGGAGTGGAGAGCATTGGATTCGAGCAGCGGCACTCTACCTTCCCTGTTACGAGGGAGGTCAAGGACTGGTGGATGTGCGGAGTAGGATCTGTGCTTTCAGATTACAAGCGGCACAGAGATTCCTGTATAACAAGGATTTAACATGGACTGAGACTGCAAAGATGATTCTGCAGAAGGCAGGTGGTCTTAAATTAGACAAACATCTGTTTCTAATGGAACTGGATAAGGTGAACCTGTCTGAGGTTACACTTTTTTACCGGTCAATGTTGTACTCTTGGAGAAGTGTTTTTAAGGTGGAAAGAAATGTTGATGAATCTGGGAGTTGGATACGAGAGGAAGTTTTGTTTTTCAACCCAATGAT